TTGTTATGCCCCCTCTCCCAAATATTATGGAAGTAAAAAAATACAACAAAAAAAAACACCTACGATAGGGGTCAAAATAGAACATTATTAAAATATTAAAGTAAATAGATAAATACATTGTAATTAAACTGTATTATTTACAAAGTACAATTGTAGTTCTAGCAAAAAATACAAACTAAAATTACACATATTAAATAAAACATTTTAAAAGATTAAATTTGATCAAAATAAATAATAATAAATTAAATCAAAACAGCTTCATTCTCATTTGTAACAAATTTCAGTACTATGCACTTCTAAATAAACAGTTTTTAGTTAAAAAACATAAGTAAATTAAAAAAATACAAACTAAAATTACACATATTAAATAAAACATTTTAAAAGATTAAATATCAAAATAAACAATAATAAATTAAATGAAAAACCGCTTCATTCTCTTTTGTAACAAATTTCAGTAGGTTATTGACCCTGCATTAAATGAAGCAGAAGATATTAGTCACTGAAGAATTACTGAGTGCACTTCTAAATAAACAGTTATAAGTTAAAGCTGCAGTCCGTAACTTTTTTTGGCTAAAAATGATCCAAAAATCAATATTTGAGCAAGTACATAACCAGCCAGTGTTCAAAATTATCGCCTTTAGCCCGATTCACAACGGTTAGCTTATAATAATGTTTTCTAATTTGAGTGGTACGGGTAGGTTTTCTCATCTTGGTCTGTCCTCATCCTTCCATCTCCTTTTCTCTCACCTCGCCTGTCCTTACCCCCAGGTATGCCTCAGCCGCCGTGATCAGCTCCCCCCAGAGAGGGGGAGGACGGTCTGCGAGGGGCGATGGGGGTATGTGACGAGTGGGGTGGGGCCGAGAGCCGTGGGAACGGAGCGAGGCTGGTGGAGTTAATGATAATGAGCGACACCTGTGCCACACACCGGTCTCGAGCACGGAGGAGCTCCGGAAGGATAAAAGGAGGAGCGACGACAGTGAAGGACGAAAGAGGACAAGCCCTGGACTTTATTTTGTTTTGTTTGTGTGCGGCAGTCGTCCGTGAGGGGCTGTCACGCTATTTTCAGTTTTGTATTCATTTTGTTATTAAAATATGTTTAAATATTCGCCGGTTCCCTCTTCATTGAACTACGAACTTTGTTACACCCCCCAACACAGCCGATTCGCCTTTGAGGGAGTGGCATATCAATACACGGTCCTATCATTCGGACTGTCCCTGGCTCCCCACACTTTTACGAAGTGCATGGACGTGGCTCTTTCCCCTCCAAGACAGAGTGGAATCCGGCAAGTTCAAGTATGAGTCTAGCATAACACGGCCAGATTGTACTGGTTCCCCATAGCGTCTTAGCGATGCAGTACGAGTGAAGTATCGATAGGGAACATAATAGGTTACTAACGTAACCTCGGTTCCCTGAGATACGGGAACGAGTACTGTGTAACTAGCCGTGCTATGCAGCTGCATGACTCAGTCGTCTCTTGAGTCGAAGTAACCTGAGGATCCTATGGCAGCAGGCCCGGTTATATAGCCAGATGTTCCCGCCCATTCTGGCGGGCTCTGGCGGGTTCCATCGCCATAGGCTCGTGCAGCTCCGCTGCCGAGCAATTGGTTCGATTTTTTAATATCACTGCACGAAACAATGGCCGTGCAGTTACACTGCATTATTAAAAAAGGCTTCTGTCATCGAAGAAAAAGGAGTTTTCCCATAGCGTCTTAGCAACGCAGTACTCGTTCGTGTATCTCAGGGAACCGAGGTTACGTTAGTAACCGAGTACGATAGTCCTGTAAGTGTAACAACAGCAATTACCAGGCTTTTGGCACCCTTTGCAGGCAATTGTAAATTATTTATTTTGTATTACATTATGTATCTTAACAGTGTTATTCAATGAAACCATATGATTATTATTAATTAACCAATCATTATTCCCTCATTGTTTTTATATAAAGCATTTCAAGTCATTTTAAAGGCTGTTGTTCACTTAGGTCTGTTATTATTACCACAAAAATATTAGGCTATCTGAATACTTCTTTGTTAATTATTATTTGAAGCAGGGACTCTGTTTTCCAAATGGCAAGGGGTGGCACCTGAAATCTGGTTGACCACTCCAGGTGCCCCCCTATCAGATGTCTTGCGATTGGCTTGTTTTTATGAAATTTCTAACGGTATCAGTGGCGGGCAATAGGAAGCTTCCTCAGGCGGCTTTCTTCTCTTCATAAACTTAATTTTAGACAATGACAAATGTCGAGAGCACTGTAATATAGCGCGACAGCGCATCCATGTAATGAGCGAGCACGAATCTCTCTACTCGCAAGACAATTTCCTTCACTCTCACACAAAACTGGACATGCTCTTTACAATATACAGTGTTCTCTTATGAATTGGCTTTACTCTCGCTCAGATATTGCGTGTGCACGCTCAAACTTTGTCCTTGCATCATTGAAGACAAGAAGAGCTTTTTTAATTCAGGTAACGAGTAGGCTTATCCAACTAAATGGAAGCAAGCTGATTATAGTCAGCCTTCTCTAGGTATTTGTTTTATTACTTAATACTTATTTGAGTTAAGTGCCCATTGTAAATATGCATTTATCAAATTATTTTATTTTATTTAGAGCATTTGTATTTTGTTGTTTTTGTATATAGTTCTACAATAAAAGCGTATCAACCAGGCCAGGTTTAATATTGTCCCATCCATTGCTATAGTAATCACTATGTCAACCATTGCTATTTTGAGAGTGAATTCCGCATAAGTATGCGGATGTCATTCTCAAAACAATGCAAAGTGTGTGCGGCAGAAAACGTCTCCAGGTTATGCATGTAACCATGGTTCCCCGAAGGGGAACGAGACGCTATGGGAACACCTTCAGCGTGTCCACGCTCTGAATCACATGTGTAATCAGTCCAATGGATGGGCGAAAAGTCACGGGCGGGGTGACGTAGCGACCAGGAAGCTTAAAAGCACGTGCAGTGGAACTGGCGTCAGTTTCTAGGAATGAAGCAAGCACTCGCAGGGATGCCCAGAAGTATGGCACTGAGATAATTCGTTCCCTAGGGGAACCATGGTTACATGCATAACTTGACGACGTTCCCCTACAGGAACTCGAGCAGCGTCGAAACGCTATGGGATATTATGAGTATGCCCACACCGCCAGACTTACAAATCCCTGCCTAGTGTGGAAGAGCACAGCTAGGGTGAGAGAACAGAAGAGCCAGGAGTGGCTCGCATATCTAGGCCACAGAACCTGATGAACATGAGGGGCGTGGACCAACCCGCTGCGTTGCAGATGTCCTGCATAGACACACCTGCCAGAAAGGCCTTGGAGGCCGCTACGCTTCTAGTTGAGTGAGCCTTGACCCCAGAGGCGAGGGGAGATCAGAGGACTCATAAGCAATGGAGATGGCATCCACTATCCACCGGCTGAGGGTCTGTTTTGTAGCAGGAAGACCTTTCTTAGGGGGACCGTAGCACATGAATAGTTGGTCCGCCCTTCTCCACATGGCAGCTCTGTGGACGTATGTGTCCAGTGCTCGCACTGCACACATACACAATTAAGCTTCTGCTGGTCGGGCTCCCGGGAAGGGAGGAGGACAGAAGGCCTAGAGTACGGCAGGCCATGGTGTAGAGGAGGGAACCTTAGGGACACCCATAACTTCCACAGCTCCGGGTGGGGGTGAAAGATCGTACCCTCCGCCTGTGAGAGGAGGTCCCTCCTGATGGGAATCTCCCATGGAGAGCCGTCGAGGAGGGAAATCAGGTCCGAGAACCATACTCGGCCCGGCCAGAACGGGGCCACTAGCAGTAGACGGACCCCCAGCCAGAACGGGGCCACTAGCAGTAGACAGACCCCGTCCCGGCGCACTCTCTCCAGAACTCCCAGGAGCAGAGTGATTGGGGGAAAAGTGTACAGACGAAGCCTTGACCAAGTCTGTACCATGGCATCCAGCCCCAGTGGAGCTGGATGAGTCAAAGAGAATCAGAGGGGACAGTGCAATGTCTCTCGAGTCGCAAACAGGTCTACCTGAGCCTGGCCACAAACTCTCCATATCTGCTTCACCACCTCGGGCCCCTGCCTCGACAGGATGTCTGCTCCCATATTGAGATGCCCAGGGATGTAAACTGCTCCTAGCGAGAGGAGTTTGCCCTGGGACTACACAAGGATCTGGTGCGCCAGCCTGTACAGGGGGCGCGAACGCAAACCACCGCTGTGTTGTCGGTGCGCACCAACACATGGCGATCTTTTAGGTCCGGGAGGAAGTGTCTCAATGCTAGAAACACGGCCAGCCTCTCCAGGCAGTTGATCTGCCACGTGAGATGGCGACCACTCCACAGACTGCGAGCCGAGCAGCCACTCATGACCACTCCCCAACCAGTGAGGAATGCGTCCGTCACTAGAGTTACGCGACGACAAGGAGCTCCCAGCACCGGGCCCTAAAAAAAGAACCAAAGTTTCCTTCACATGTCTAAGGCACATAGACAGCGCCGCATGACCTTGAGCATGCGAAGCGGGTTTCCCCTCTGAGAGAACCCCTTGGTCTTGAGCCACCACTGTAGGGGTCTCATCTACAGCAGGCCAAAAGGTATCACGTTGGACACAGCTGCCATCAGACCCAGCAGTCTCTGAAACTGCTTGAGTGACCGGCCTTCTCTTACTCTCGTGACTGCTGTGAGGATCGACTCGATCTGAGCAGGGGACAAACGTGCCTGTATCATGGTCGAATCCCACACCACACCCAGATAAGTGGTCCTCTGTAATGGAAAAAACACACTATTCTTGGCGTTTACTCTTAACCCCAGCGCTTTCATGTGGGCAAGAACGACATCTCGATGCCGAACCGCCACCTGCTCCGATTGAGCTAGTATAAACCAATCGTCGATATGATTCAGTATGCGGATGCCCTGGAGTCGCAGTGAAGCCAGAGCAGCATCCACACACTTTGTGAAAGTGCGGGGTGAGAGTGCAAGGCCGAAAGAAAGAACCCGATATTGGTAAGCTCCGCTGCCACCATAGCTGCCATAGACCGTCCAATAGCGCAGGCGGTCTCCTTGGTGGCGTGGAGAGACAGATCAGCGGTTCTTCTGAGCTCAGTTATGTTCTCAGAATTGATCTCCTCGCCCGCATCCAGCTCTTTCAGCAGGTCAGCCTGGTACGCCTGTAACACAGCCATTGTGTGCAGACACGCACCAGCCTGACCCGCTGCCGTGTACCCTTTGCCCCCCAGCGCTGACGTTGTACGCAGCGGCTTGGAGGGCCATACCGGAGCTTTCAAGGACAATGCTGCACCAGGGGACAGATAGCTAGCAAGCGTCTGTTAAACCCGGGGAATCACCCTGTAGTCGCGCTCACTCAATCCCGCCACATTGCCATAGTAGTCAGAAGCAGGGATGAAGAGGCAGGCCGAGAATGGCCTTGCCCACAACCTCGAAACCTCGGTGTGGAGGTCGGGGAAGAATGGCAGGTTCCGGTGTGGAGGAGGCGGAGAAAGCGTTCATCCAACTTGCTTTTCTGAGCCTGTTTCTCAGCGGGCCAATCAATGTTCAACTTGGCAACGGCACGAGTAACTACCTCTACTAGCTCCTCATACTGAGGCAATTGAGGGGGCGAATCCTCATCGACACCCTCCACATCAACCTCCACGGAGGAAGACAGGCGGAGCATCGAGCCCTCTCCCCGGAGGGAAGAAACCACGGAGCAGGCTTCCGATCCCAGAGAGCGGGCACTGGATCTGGTGCATGGGTAAGGAAGAAGAGATCCTTCCAGGAGCGAAGCATACACAGCGGCAGACGCTCGCAATGTGGGCAGTCAGCTCCCTCGAGAGCCGGCTCTACGTGCTTCGCTCCCAAGCAGACCACACACAGACTGTGTGTATCCCCGCCCGTAATATAACGTGGGCAGGGAGGAACACACAGCCTATAACGCTGTCTGCTCTTGCCCTTCAAGTGCTTAGTCTTATTGTCTTAGCCTCAGCTTTAGACATAATGGAGCTTATTGGTTGGGACAAACAACACTAAATAAGACTCACAACAAAGAGTTGACTGACACACACACACAAATCGCTTGCTGAATGACAGAAAGCTGACGCCGGTTCCACCGCACGTGCTTTTAAGCTTCCTGGTCACTACGTCACCCCGCCCATGATGTCTTGCCCATCCATTGGACTGATTTCACACATGATTCAGAACGTGGTCACAGTGAAGGCATTCCCATAGCGTTTCGACGCAGCTCGAGTTCCTGAAGGGGAAACAAAAGTTATACATTTTGAATGGATTATAGCCTAGAAAGCTCACAAAGAGCGCTAGCTCCCTTAAAAAGCTTTCACTCTTTGTTCATCGCGATCTCACAAAGTTCTGTTATTACCAATGAATCTCTCTACACTGCATCTATTATTTACATCGTGTATACACTCTGTATGTTATAATGAAAGTTTTCGATTGTATAACTCAGCACAGAACAAAAACTGGTGTGTATTGTAGCCTTTAGATATGAGACAAAACCAGCATGTACTGTCATGAGGATGATGAAAGTGTTTTCATTTGAGTAAAGCCTTTAAGTTCCTTTAAGTGTTTTTCTTTATTGAATATGTACAATTTCTCATGTGGTAACATCTCATTTATTTGATTTTATTCAACCCAAAAATATTAACCTAATTAACCTATGCATTAGGTCAGGGGTTTTCAACCCAGGGTGGCGCCAGCACCTGTCAAGGGGGGCGCGAGCATCAGTTAATTCAGAGACATTCCCTTGAGGATTTATGAATATGAGTTAGCAAATCTTTAGCCATCTACTAGGGGGCAATTTGACTCCCACTGCTAGTCGACAGTTAGAGCAGAGTTGACTCGAGTATCAGTCACGCTTATTGACAGTGAAAGATGATTTACAGTTAGCCGTGTCGGAAATCCAACCACGGATTGGCATGTTATCTTAGAAACAGGCTTAGCCATCACATTAAATCAGGTAAACTGGTTATATATTTATATTTCAGTATAATTACGTACACTATACCAGAGGTGGTTCTAAACCCTTTTTAGGTGGGTTTCAGCCCCCTATCTGTCACCTTAGCCCCCCAAAACTATCTTAACGATCAGGCCAGTGCTGCTTCCTCAAGAAAGTTTTTCATTCTCACATGTTTTAAGTCTTGTCAGTTTAAACATTAAAGTAATTTTAAGCCATTTAAGCCCAATACATCTCAGTGCAGTACGCACACACTGTGATAGAGCATTTCTATGCGCACCGCTCACACACCTGAAGTGCACAAACAGATAGCCTTCTCAGACAGCAGGTGAATACCAATGGCTGTTTTGACAAGTATCCTTGTAAGCACAGTCGGTTGTTTTAAGTGAATGTAAACAGTAAAGAAAATATCAGATGTAGATCAGTATAACAGATCCGTGCATTTCTTATATAAATGTTAATCAAAAAGAGCAAAAGAAAAATAATTTGCTTCTTTAATAGCTTTAATGGATATTTGCGTTATGCTGATGTCAATAAAGTAATTCGGTGTGAATACAGTAATGGGGGGGGGGGTGTTGGGTGTTGGGTGTTGGGGGGGGCGCATGTCCTAAAAGGTTGAAAACCCCTGGGATAGGGTACTTTCCTGCCAAGCAATACGAAATACCTCTAGTTTTGTCTTCCTCCAGCTGCACACCATTTTCCGGGCTGCTCTCTTTAGGGTGCGAGTGTGCTCATTATACCACGGTGTCAGACTGTTTTCCTTAATATTCCTTAAGCGTAAAGGAGCAACCGTATCTAAAATGTTAAAAAAGAGAGTCCATAGTTTCTGTTACATCATCAAGTTGTTCTGAGGTATTGGATATGCTAAGGAATTGCAATAAATCAGGAAGATTAAAATTAAATTAAAATCACCAACAATTAAAACTTTATCTGCAGCCAGCACTAACTCAGAAATAAAATCAGCACATTCTTTAATAAAGTCTGTATGGTGCCCTGGTGGCCTGTTTTATTCAACCCAAAAATATTAACCTAATTAACCTATGCATTAGGTCAGGGGTTTTCAACCCAGGGTGGCGCCAGCACCTGTCAAGGGGGGCGCGAGCATCAGTTAATTCAGAGACATTCCCTTGAGGATTTATGAATATGAGTTAGCAAATCTTTAGCCATCTACTAGGGGGCAATTTGACTCCCACTGCTAGTCGACAGTTAGAGCAGAGTTGACTCGAGTATCAGTCACGCTTATTGACAGTGAAAGATGATTTACAGTTAGCCGTGTCGGAAATCCAACCACGGATTGGCATGTTATCTTAGAAACAGGCTTAGCCATCACATTAAATCAGGTAAACTGGTTATATATTTATATTTCAGTATAATTACGTACACTATACCAGAGGTGGTTCTAAACCCTTTTTAGGTGGGTTTCAGCCCCCTATCTGTCACCTTAGCCCCCCAAAACTATCTTAACGATCAGGCCAGTGCTGCTTCCTCAAGAAAGTTTTTCATTCTCACATGTTTTAAGTCTTGTCAGTTTAAACATTAAAGTAATTTTAAGCCATTTAAGCCCAATACATCTCAGTGCAGTACGCACACACTGTGATAGAGCATTTCTATGCGCACCGCTCACACACCTGAAGTGCACAAACAGATAGCCTTCTCAGACAGCAGGTGAATACCAATGGCTGTTTTGACAAGTATCCTTGTAAGCACAGTCGGTTGTTTTAAGTGAATGTAAACAGTAAAGAAAATATCAGATGTAGATCAGTATAACAGATCCGTGCATTTCTTATATAAATGTTAATCAAAAAGAGCAAAAGAAAAAGGTTTAAAAGGCATTAGTTTACAGTGATAAAATTAAATTTAAGTGTTAGATGAGGTAGAAATAGTTCCCTAGGATAACATTTGCAAGTTAGCACTTCTAAATACTGTACCATAAATATTTTTTTCTCATCATGCTCATTTTGCCACAGTACTATTAGGCTACAGTTATTTACTATTTTCAGCACTCACAACCGCATTTTCGGAAAACATGCGCTGTATGAACTGGACAACTACCGTTAGTTGTAATAGAGTGGTGCAACTATGATGTCACTTTGTAGGCAAAAACCCGGAAGCGAGTTAGCATTTTAGCACTTCCGGTTCCATCGTCCCATGCAGAGTCAATGGGTTTTTTTGAATGGAGGTTTGATTAAATCCCCTACCAGTTACACCCCACTCGTGATTTTTTAAAACTTATGTTTCTTAAAAAAGACAGTTGCTAACAAGTTGCTAAATGGGACTACAGGCACCGTCAGAGACATTAAACGTCATCACGCTGAACAGTTGATCAATTTACAGTATATTCCAATTGTAGTATAATTTATAGTACAATTAATTGTTGAATAACCAATTAATAGTTTCCCGCATTTTATATTGTTGTTTGACAATGTTTTTTTGCTTTGCCCCAAAATGCCACACAAGTGTTCGGATGGAAGATGCTTGTTTTATCGCTTTCCTACTGATACGGCTCTGGGTTCGGACCATATGATTATTCCATGTAAACATCACATTTACCAGCTTAGTCGCGGTGAAAGTGAAACTTTAACAATGCATAGTGCTTAAAGCCACGTTAAAATTAAATGTTTACGGCCACAGTTGTTAGAAAGCAGAAAGATTGAGGATTTTCTAGAAGCAAGGATAAAATAAAATTTTGTGTAATGTTACCCACCCTAACAAAATGATAGCTGAAATGTTGTATTTTATTCACTAATTTAAGTTTAATCTTACCATCCAAAAACTTGCTCACTCTGCTGTTAATAGATTAAATGCACTAGAATTGTATTGAATAGTACGTGGAGATACGTTTTTAATTAAAATATTCATATTAAGGATTTATTGACTTTTAATGCACCTTGTTTCGAAATGTACAGAAATACGTGCTTACCTATGTCCTTTAGTTATGATTATTTCATTTGTTCACTATATTATTTATTACTAATGTCTCATTTCAGTTTGGCTCTAGTTTTGTATTTATTCCAGTTTATATGAAAAGTTTCATGTAGCGTGGGTTAAAATTCATCCACAGAAGTAAATCCTGGTGGTGGTGACGTCGAAGGCGAGCGATCGTGGTTCTGTAGTTCCTTTATAGACTATAGCCTAAGTTTAGCTTTTAAGTTCCGGCACTTTTATTCAGGCTTCAAAATTCATAAATTCACCATCCCCCGATCAGTGGAGGATCGACAAATGGAGGACAAACTCACTAATGTCGCTTTTCCACTGCATGGTACGGCACGGTACGGTTCACTTTGGGGGGTTTTCCACTGGGTAC